GTGCTTGCCATAGATGCAGGCGAAATGTCAGGAGATAATGCCTCTAGAACATGGCCAAATAGCCCAAAACACTACAACAACCCAATGCCCTTGACTGCTTGCCCTTCCATTGGAAAATGTTTTTCTACACCTCTTCTTCTGCCCAGCCATATTCCTCTTTTTCATCCACCTCCATGCTCAAGCAGGGAGCTTTGAGATGGTTGAACAGAAGCTCTCCGAAGCTCTAGGTGCTCTTACCGCCTACTACTGGGAAAACCAGCTGATCCCTAATCCATCTAAAACACAGACATGCGCTTTTTACCTTAAGAACAGACAAGCATCCCGAAGGAATCCCACTGGAGCATTGCAGCGCACTCAAATACCTGGGAGTCACTCTGGACCGTGCCCTGACCTACAAGAAGCACTGCCTGAATATCAAGCAAAAAGTGGGTGATAGAAACAATATCATACAAAAGCTGACTGGCACAACCTGAGGATCACAACCAGACACAGTGAAGACATCTGCCCTTGTGCTTTGCTACTCTGCTGCTGAGTATGCATGTCCAGTGTGGAACACATCTCACCACGCTAAAACAGTGGATGTGGCTCTTAATGAGACATGCCGCATGATCACGGGGTGCCTGCGCCCTACACCACTGGAGAAATTACACTGCTTAGCTGGTATTGCACCACCTGACATCCGCCGGGAAGTAGCAGCCAATAGTGAAAGGACCAAGGCAGAGACATCTCCAGCTCATCCCAATATATCAGCCAGCACCTCAACGACTTAAATCTAGAAACAGTTTTCTAAGATCTACAGAGACACTCGCTGGAACACCCCAGCAAGCAAGAGTCCAAAAGTGGCAGGCTCAAACCCAGCACCTCAACCAATGGCTGATACCAAATGAGAGACTCCCCTCCTGGGCACACAGAAGACGGGGCAACTTGAAAGACGCTGATCAGACTGCACTCTGGCACCACGAGAAACAGAGCCAACCTTCAGAAATGGGGCTACAAAGTGGAATCCACGACATGCGAGTGTGGAGAGGAGCAAACCACTGACCATCTGCTGCAATGCAACCTGAGCCCTGCTACATGCACAATGGAGGACCTTCTTGCGGCAACACCAGAGGCATTCCAAGTGGCCAGCTCCTGGTCGAAGGACATTTAATCAACTACCAAGCTTGCAAACTTTGTGTTTTGTCTGTTTGTTTTGTTCTGCTAGAAATGTAATACAGTGGTCTGGTTGCCCCTGACACGATAAATAAACAAAAATAAGTCCACCTCCATTACCTTTCTTGGGTTCAAAGAAACCCCCCTCTTAAACCAAGGAAGGACCACAATTCGACTCCAAAGCAACAATGGTGCAAAGCAGGAGAAATATAACCTGGAGAGATACCGAGGAATTTACAAACCCAAGACTGAAGGAAAAGGGATTTATATCTTCCTTTTGCCTCCCAGCTGTGTACTACTCAGCTAAATGGAGTCAGCTGTTGGATTCGTCTTTCAAAGACTACTGTGTGCTAGGATAAGGCAGGACATTCATTGGGTTGCTGTGAGTTTTCTGGGCTGTATGGCCATGTTCCGGAAGCATTGTCTCCTGAAGTTTTGCTCACATCTATGGCAGGCAGTCTCAGAAGTCGTGAGATCTGTTGGAAACAAGGGAAGTGGGGTTTACATATCTATGAAATGTCCAAGCACCTTGGTATCCCTAAAGATGTTTTGGTCCTCAAACACTCTCTGCTTCATTCGGAAAAATGCTGCACCACAGAGCTCAGGCGGTGTTGTATTTCAGTGTCAATGTTGACTTTTGTAGAGAGGTGGCTGCCAAGGGAGCGGAAATATTATTTACGGTATTTATATTCCGCCCTTCTCACCCCGCAGGGGACTCAGGGCGGATTACAATGTACACATATATGGCAAACATTCAATGCCAATTTGACATCCAACAGATATAGACAAACAGTCAGAGGCTATTTAACTTTTTTGGCCGCCAGGGGAGCTGTCGCTTTCATCGTCCATCTGTGACACTGATGAAGTACTTCCACATTCCCCGCATGCTTTTGCTGGAGTCTTTTTTATGGCCTCGTAAATTAGTTAAATTAGCCTCCCCACACATAGGTGGTACCTAATTTTCCTACTTGACAGATGCAACTGTCTTTTGGGTTGCAAAGGTCGACAACAAGCTACACAATTGGTCGGAAGCTCACTCCGACCCGGGCTGGCTTCGAACTCATGACATTATGGTCAGAAGTGATCTTAATGCAGCTGACACTCAGACAGCTGTGCCACAGTCCCTGTGAAATAGTCAACATATTGCACCGGTGTCCCAGGACAATAGTCCCTGTGCAATAGTCAAATAGTCAACATTTTTTAGTGTTACACCATTAAGCTGTATTTCTGGCATTGGAGAGGGATTGGCTGGTGACTGCTGGAAGAGCACTTTGGTTTTCTTGAAGTTTGATGACAGGACGAGCTTCTCGTATGCTTCTGCGAAGGTGTTTAGAGTGGCTTGTAGGTCTTCTTCTGAATGTGCACAGATGATGTTGTCATCAGCATATTGGAGTTCTATAACAGATGTTGTTGTAACCTCGGTTTTGGCTTTCAGTCTGCTGAGGTTAAATAGGTTGCCATCTGTCCGATAGGTGATTTCCACTCCAGTGGGAAGCTTCCCGTCAACAAGATGAAGTATCATAGTGATGAAGATAGAAAATAAGGTTGGGGCAATAACACATCCCTATTTGACACCTGATCCACCCCCAGGTTACCACTCTTGGAGGACCATCATCCTCAGACTACGAGGGATCGCCTAAGTAAGTAAGTAAGTCATTAGAATAATAGAATCAAAGAGTTGGAAGAGACCTCATGGGCCATCCAGTCCAACCCCATTCTGCCAAGAAGCAGGAATATTGCATTCAAATCACCCCTGACAGATGGCCATCCAGCCTCTGTTTAAAAGCTTCCAAAGAAGGAGCCTCCACCACACTCCGGGGCAGAGAGTTCCACTGCTGAACGGCTCTGACAGTCAGGAAGTTCTTCCTCATGTTCAAATGGAATCTCCTCTCTTGTAGTTTGAGGACAGGGGAAAGTGCATCATGAGGACAACACTGTAGATGGAGTGTACAGTGGGATCCCAAAAATGGGATGTACGGTCACTCTCCAAAGGCACATCGGAAAAGCCAAGTTTTCAAATCTTTCTTAAAGATGTGTCCCGTTACTGCCTGGAGGAATCCTTTGTTGAGAGATGATTAGTTGTCCCTGATTGTTTCTTGTCTGGAGTTCCCCTGTTTTTAAGTGTTGTTCTTTATTTACTGTCCTGATTTTGGAGTTTTTTTCAATACTGGTAGCCAGATTTTGTTCATTTTCATGGTTTCCTCCTTTGTGTTGAAATTGTTGATGTGCTTGTGGATTTCAATGGCTTCTCTGTGTGGTTCGACATGGTGGTTGTGAGAGTGGTCCAGCATTTCTATGTTCTCCAATAATATGCTTTTAAACAGAGGCTGGATGGCCATCTGTCAGGGGTGATTTGGGGTGATTTGAATGCAATATTCCTACTTCTTGGCAGAATGGGGTTGGACTGGATGGCCCATGAGGTCTCTTCCAACTCTTTGATTCTATGATTCTATGATTCTATGCTGTGTCCAGGTTGGTTCATCATGCGCTCTGCTACGCCTGAATTCTCTGGTTGAAGTAGTCTGCAGGATTCCCCCAGGCAGGAAGCAGCCAGGCTTTGCAGCTGCAAGGCCATTTGATGCTAATCATGGCGGCCAATGTCAACATTCACACCTACCTCATACAGACAAGAGTTTGGACATTTCACAGATATATAAACCCCATTTTCCTAGTTTCTAGCAGACCTCGCAACCTCTGAGGATGCCTGCCATAGATGCAGGCGAAACGTCAGGAGAGAATGCTGCTGGAACATGGCCAGACAGGCTGGAAATTTTTACAGAAACCCACTAATCCAGAAAACATAGTATTTATTTATTTGTCGTGTCAGAGCAACCAGTCCATTATATTGCATTTCTAACAGAACAGAGCAAACAAACAGAAAAATACAAAGCTTGTGAGTTCGGTAGCTGGTTAAATGTCCTTTGACCAGTATCTGGCCCCTTGGAGTGCCTCTGGTGTTGCCGCAAGAAGGTCCTCCATTGTGCATGTGGCTGGGCTCATGTTGCATTGCAGCAGGTGGTCAGTGGTTTGCTCTTCTCCACACTCGCATGTCAAGGATTCCACTTTGTAGCCCCATTTTTTGAGGTTGGCTCTGCATCTCGTGGTGCCAGAGAGCAGTCTGTTCAGTGCCTTCCAAGTCGCCCAGTCTTCTGTGTGCCCAGGGGGGAGTCTCTCATTTGGTATCAGCCATTGGTTGAGGTTCTGGGTTTGAGCCTGCCACTTTTGGTCTCTCGCTTGCTGAGGTGTTCCAGCGAGTGTCTCTGTAGATCTTAGAAAACTATTTCTAGATTTAAGTCGTTGACGTGCTGGCTGATACCCAAACAGGAGATGAGCTGGAGATGTCTCTGCCTTGGTCCTTTCACTATTGGCTGCTACTTCCCGGCGGATGTCAGGTGGTGCAATACCGGCTAAGCAGTGTAATTTCTCCAGTGGTGTAGGGCGCAGACACCCTGTGATAATGCGGCATGTCTCATTAAGATCCACATCCACTGTTTTAGTGTGGTGAGATGTGTTCCACACTGGGCATGCATACTCAGCAGCAGAGTAGCATAGCGCAAGGGCAGATGTCTTCACTGTATCTGGTTGTGATCCCCAGGTTGTGCCAGTCAGCTTTCGTATGATATTGTTTCTGGCACCCACCTTTTGCTTGATGTTCAGGCAGTGCTTCTTGTAAGTCAGAGCACGGTCCAGAGTGACTCCCAGAAAACATAGTAACTAATAGGGAAGGAAAAAAATGAAGGCAGGAGTTCAAGGGGTTAAAACCAAGCAAGTGTTATGCAAAGGACTGCCGGCAGGGGGTGCTCTCTCCCTTCTCTGCCAAAGCCATTGCTCGGCGCATGCGCAGTACCTCTCCAACCTTCCTGTTGTGTTTTTTTTTTTTTGCAAGCGTGGAAAGGAAGACTCCTTGCAGGTAGGCAATCTTGCAAACAGGTCTACTCATAAGTAACCCCACTCAATTGCAGGTAGATTTGTACTGCCTTGTCAATATCCAGGTTGAACCCAGGGATCATCTCTGCCACCCACCCCATTCCAATGCAATAAAATATATTAATTTCAGGCATGTTCAAAATCAGTCTCATAGGCTTGGGTTAGGTCCCATGTGCCACCCATTGACTGAGCCCTTTACCTGTCAATGTTTGCATTGCTCTGATTGGCCACTTTGAGTATTTCTTTCCTTTTCAAAATCATATGCTATTTATTTATGCTTATATTTATATATATTTAATATTTGTAATTTTATTTGTATTTATACATGCATGTATTTATATATGTATATATGTTTATGTATGTATGTGTGTAGCACTCCTGACTGTTTGGTGATAGACATTAATGGGAGTTGGAATCCAAAACTAGAAGTTTTCCCAACTCTAAAAGTTTTATTATCAAAGCAATGAGCTGGTGGCTGGAGAAAGAAAAAAGAGGGGGGAAATGGATTATTATTATGTGTTGTCGAAGGCTTTCGTGGCCGGAATCACTGGGTTGCTGTGAGTTTTCCGGGCTGTCTAGCCAACTTCCGGCAGCACTCTCTCCTGACATTTCACCCACATCTATGGCAAGCGTATTCAGAGGTTGTGAGGTCTGTTTGAAACTAGGAATATCTGTGGAATGATGTCCAGGGTGGGAGAAAGAACTCTTGTCTATTTGAGGCAAGTGTGAATGTTGCAGTTGCCCAGCTTGATTAGCATTGGGTGGCCTTGCAGCTTCAAAGCCTGGCTGCTTCCTGCCTGGGGGAATCCTTTGGGGAGGATGTTAGCTGGCCCTGCAGCAAAGGACAAGAGAGACAATCTCACCTCTGTGGGAATCTACTATATGCCGTGCTGCTAAGGACAAGCCCACAACGCAGTTGCTTTGTGGGCGACTAAAATGATCAAGGGTCTGGAGAACAAGCCCTATGAGGAGTGGCTTAAAGAGCTGGGCATGTCTAGCCTGAAGAAGAGAAGGCTGAGAGGAGATATGATAGTCGTGTATAAATATGTGAGAGGAAGCCACAGGGAGGAGGGAGCAAGCTTGTTTTCTGCTTCCCTGGAGACTAGGACGCAATGGAACAATGGCTTCAAACTACAAGAGAGGAGATTCCATCTGAACATGAGGAAGAATTTCTTGACTGTGAGAGCTGTTCAGCAGTGGAACTCTCTGCCCCAGGGTGTGATGGAGACTCCTTCTTTGGAGGCTTTTAAACAGAGGCTGGATGGCATTTTGTCGGGGATGCTTTGAATGTGATTTTCCTGCTTCTTGGCAGAATGGGGTTGGACTGGATGGCCCATGAGGTCTCTCTAGGATTCTATGAAATGTATTGGAGGGATGTAAATTTAAACTTTACAAGGTATCTTGCTGGGTTACTTTCATGGAGACAAAGATATTCTATCACCCAAACAGGTGGGATGGATACGTTCATCATCGAATTCTGTTACAAAAACGTCACCGTCAAAGAGGACGGCAATAACTTCTCTGCCAACTGCAAGATTTGCCCAAATAAGACCATCTCGGGGAGCACACGCAGTTCCAGCAACTTCCTGAAACATGTCAAAGTAAGTCAACCTCACAAGTTTGGTAAAGTAGAGTTTTATTGTTCCATATTGTTCCAAAGCTAAAGATAGGATGGCAGGTGTTGGTTCTGCTTTCCTTGCCTTTGCATCCTTATGGGTGTTGCCTGTAGAGGCAAAAACAAAACAAAACACCCTATATGCTTTGACTCACATTTTCCTGGTCTAATTGTGATCATCTCACATTTGTATTAAGATTAAGATAAAGGTTTTCCCCTGATATTCGCGGAAAATAGACCTTGACGTATTGTCGAAGGCTTTCATGGCTGGAATCACTAGGTTCTTGTGGGTTTTTTCGGGCTATAGAGCCATGTTCTAGAGGCATTTCTCCTGACGTTTCGCCTGCATCTATGGCAAGCATCCTCAGAGGTTGAGAAGGGACCACCAAACGCAGGGACCACCAAACGCAGTGCCCAGATACGCATCAAGGAACATGAAAAGCACTGCAGACTACTTCAACCAGAGAAGTCAGCCATAGCAGAGCACCTGATGAACCAGCCTGGACACAGCATATTATTTGAGAACACAGAAATGCTGGACCACTCTAACAACCACCATGTCAGACTACACAGAGAAGCCACTGAAATCCACAAGCATGTGGACAATTTCAACAGAAAGGAGGAGACCATGAAAATGAACAAAATCTGGCTACCAGTATTAAAAAACTCTAAAATTATAACAGCTAAACAACAGAGAGGAAAAAACCAGGCACAGATTAACACCTCCCAGCAACAGATTTTCCCAGGCTCAGGCAGGCCTTCAAATGCTAATGAAGGTGATCAGCTAAACATTCACACCTAACTGCAGCAGGGAAGAGCTCCTTGCCCCACCCCAGCCATTCCACAGATATATAAACCCATTTTTCCTACTTCCAACAGACCTCAACCTCTGAGGATGCTTGCCATAGATGCAGGCGAAACGTCAGGAGAAATGCCTCTAGAACATGGCTCTATAGCCCGAAAAAACCCACAAGAACCTAATAGACCTTGACATTTGGGAGTTGTAGTCACTGGGATTCACAGTTCATCTACAATCAAATGGCATTCTGAACCCCACGAATGACAGAATAGGGGGCAAACTTTCCACATAGAACCTCCATGACCAATGGAAAATACTCAAGGCCACCCAGTCCAACTCCCTTCACCAGGGAAGAAAATGTATTCAAAGCTCTCCTGACAAAGAGCCATCCAGGCATAGATATACGATAGATATGATTCACACACACACCAGATATAGTATTATAGATTTGAAAGGGACCCATGAAGAAGGACAATTATATGTTGCATGTTCCAGGGTGGGCAAACCAGACTCTCCACATCAACACTCACAAAGAAACAGCAAGAAATACTGTTTACCCACAAGCAGAAAGGAATTACATAGATTAGAAACCAACACTTTCTCATTACTTTGTTTTCCAGATCAACAGACTGGGCCACAGCAACGCCTGGCAGGCGACAGCTAGTCTTTATATATATATATATATATATATATATATATATATATATTCTCCTCTTACACCGGGAACTATGCAGGGTTATACAAAGGAACTTATCCCAGACATGTAGCCATTGCCATACATCCTCACTCCCGATTTTAGATAATTAGCTCCAATGGTTCCCGCTTTCTTTCTGTGATGTTTTACAGCTTCTTCCTCTTTTCTAGGTGCGACATCCCCTCCGATTCCAGGAGTACGAAAGGCAGAAGGATGCGACTTGGAAGAAGAAAAAGAGGGTATGAGAGAAGGCTTAAATACTAGAAGGAAATAATTAAGTGTTTTAATTGTGTGAGTTTTTTTAAAAAATACGTGAATTGGATGATAATGTGAAGCTATAAAATGGAAACAGTTCAGAACGAGATAGGTATTTTGGCCCAAGTGCACGTCCTAGAGGAGAGGCGAGACTCATCCCTTCTTTTGTGCACATGTAGATGAACCCACACGATCTCTTCGTTCATCTGGAGAGGCCCTGCTCACGATCCCACCTGCATCGCAAGCGCGATTGGTGGGGATGAGGGACAGGGCCTTTTTGGTGGTGGCCCCACGACTCTGGAACTCCCTCCCTAAGGACGTCAGGCAGGCCCCAACGTTGGCAGGTTTTAGAAAGAGCTTGAAGACGTGGATGTTCCAGTGTGCCTTTCCAGAATAAGCACTCCCAAGCAATATGTCCCAAATGCAATATGTCCCAAATGAGAGTTAGTACTGTCTGCACGCCCACCTATCCCTAAAATATCCAACCTATTTCCCTGGACATGCCCAGCATTTTAAAATTTTAATTCTTACATTTGGCCCTGCCACAGGTTTTTAATTGCGTCGTGTCATTATTGTATTGTTTTGCTTTGTTATGAGTTATTTATTGTTGTATTGTTGTTGTTATGTTTTATGATGTATTTGGGCTTGGCCTCTTATAAGCCGCACCGAGTCCTGCGGGAGATGGTCGTGGGGTATAAATAAAGGTTTATTATTATTATTATTATTATTATTATTATTATTATTATTATAAAATGCCGCGACCCCTTAAGACAGTTCCTCTTGTTGTGGTGACCCCCAATCGTAAAATTATTTCCCTTGCTACTTCATAACTAATTTTGCTACTGTTATGAATCCTAATGTAAATATCTTGATATGTAAGATGTATTTTCATTCACTGGACCAAATTTGGCACAAATACCCAATGAGCCCAAATTCGAATAGTGGGGGGTTAGGGGAGTGAGTTAGTCATTTGGAAGTTGAAATTGCTGGGATTTATAGTTCAACTACAATCTAGTTCACTTTCCAGCATGCTGCTGGAAGGTTTTATGATGTCATAAATCAGTTAAATTAGCCTCCCCGCATAAAACAGTACCTAAATTTCCTACTTGACCAAAGCAACTGTCTTTTGAGCTGTGTTAGGTCAACAGCAAGCTAAACTATTAATGGTTGGGAGCTTACTCTGACCCGGTCTGGCTTCGAACTCATGACCTCTCGGTCAGTGGCGATTTAATGCAGCTGGCTGCTAACTAGCTGCGCCACAGCCTGAGTCTACACTTTGAAGCAGCTAATCTGGATTTTATATAATACGAGGCTCAATCCTTCACGTCACTCCGCACGCGCGTGACGTAGGAAGGGCGAGTCTTTTCGCTCAGAGTTAGCATAGGTATGTTATATATGGGGTATATGCAACATTCTTTGGTTTCGTTGCGTGGCGTCTTCCAACCCTTGTATGTTTCTCTGATGGTCTTTGGGGTGGAAATGGGGAAGGCTGAGTCCCTTCTACACTGACATACAAATCCAGATTATTGACTTGGAATCCCCTATGCATACTTTAACAAACAAATAGTGAAGGCTTGGAAGGTTACGATTTCCAACAAGCCCTGGTCACGTCACAGCAAAATTTCCCCTCTTTCTCATGCTCTAAACTATAACCTCTGTTGTTTTTAGATATTGGCTGAATTTGAAGAGGCGGCTGCGAGTTCCACAGAGACGGAGGCCTCGCCGTCCATTTCCAGAGAGAGGCATCTGCCCCGAGATGTCAAAAGGGAAGAGGACGAAGGAGACTTTCTAGGTAAGGTCTTTGAGATCGTTTTGAGCTTTGGCCCTCCAGGTGTTTTGGACTTCAATTCCCACAATTCCTAACAGCCTACCGGCTGTTAGGAATTGTGGGAGTTGAAGTCCAAAACACCTGGAGGGTCCAAATTTGCCCATGCCTGGTAGATAAAATGAATTGGCTCCTTCCTCTTGCTAAAAGGCAGTGACGTCACCGAGGCAGGTTCCAGCTTGCTAGAGCCCGAGACCCCCTTGGTAGTACAGACTGCCGAGAAGTCTCCGACATTTACACGGCACCCAGATGTGATGTACGAGCAGGACTTGGAGCAGCTGGCGATCCCCACACCCATCATCCACCAAGTGCCCTGGTCGGGCTTCGAGAAGGCCTTCACCTTCGTGCGACAGAAGGGGAAGAATGTCATTGTGCAGTGCAACTACTGCTTGCCGGCCATCAAGAACGTGAGCTCGGCCATTACCTCTGCTTCCAATGTGAAGAAACACCTGGAGGTAAGTGCTCAGAAGGCTCCAGGGGAAAAAAGGTTTTGGAAAAAAGTGCTAAGTGGGGTTCCAGAAGTAAGTAACGTATATACTTGAGTATAAGCCGACCCGAATATATGCCGAGGCACCTAATTTTAGGACAAAAAAACTGAGAAAACGAATTGAGTCATGTATAAGCCGAGGGTGGGAAATCTATAAATAGATACCAATATCATTACATGAATGGAGGCATCAGTAGGTTAAATGTTTTTGAATCTATATACTGTATATACTCAAGTATAAGCCTAGCACCGGGATTGTGGCGCAGCTGGCTGAGTGTCAGCTGCATTAAGATCACTCTGACCAAAAGGTCATGAGTTCGAAGCCACCCCGGGCTGGAGTGGGTGTCCAGCCATTGTGTAGCCCGTTGTCGACCTTTGCAACCCGAAAGACAGTTGCATCTGTCAAGTAGGAAAATAAGGGACCACCTTGTGTGGGAGGCTAAATTTAACTAATTTATGAGGCCATAAAGAAAGAAGACTCCGGGGAATGTGGAATGCGGAAGAACTTCATCGGTGTCGTTGATGGACGATGAAAGCAGCAGCTCCCCTGGCGGCCAGAAAAAAAAAAAAGTTAAATAGCCTTTGTCTGTTAAATGTTGTTTGTCAAACTGGCATTGAATGTTTGCCATATATGTGTTTACTGTAATCCGCCCTGAGTCCCCTGCGGGGTGAGAAGGGCGGAATATAAGAACTGTAAATAAATAAATAATAAATAATACTTTAGCCCTTTTTAGGCTGAAAAAGCTCCCTTGGCTTATACTCGAGTCAAGGTTATTTAGTATTTTACTCTGTTATTAGTATTATTTTATTATTAATTATTATATTTTATTACTTTATCTTACTATTATTATTTATTATTATTTTACATTATTTTACTCTATTATTTTTACATTTATTATTTACTCTATTTATTACATTATTTTACTCTATTTATTATTGTATTATTATTTTATTTTACTCTCTTATTATTATTGGAAGGATACGTCAGCACATTTACACTTGAAGGTGGTTAGATCTACTTGACCATCCTACCTCGCATTCCTGAGATGCGTAAAATCCCTACATTAAGTCTCTCGTATAATATATCAAACCCGCACCACACAACTTACGCCACCCAATACTATACCTCAATTAATGTAATTTTATTGGTATCTAGTTTTATTTTGAAATTGACCAGTAGCTGCTGCATCTCCCACCCTCTGCTTATATTCTAGTCAATACATTTTCCCACGTTTTGTGGTAAAATTAGGTGCCTCAGCTTATATTCGGGCCGGCTTATACTCGAGTATATACAGTAAATAAAAATGTAATGTTCGTTTGTGGGATTAACATAACTCAAAAAACACTGGATGAATTGACACCAAATTTGGACACAAGACACCTCTCAGGCCAACAAGTGACCATAACTCATAAAAACATTGGAAAACACAGCGGAAGGGACTTAAAAAGCCAAAAAACAAAAATTACATTACAATGCATGCACAAAACAACATATTTACACATATACACAAATATATACACACACATATATACACACACAAAATACATATACACAGAATGGGCCACAGCAATGTGTGGCAGGGGACAGCCAGTATTTACATAAAACTTTAATTTAAGATAAGACTGTCCAACTCTGCTTAAAATATTATTCTGACCTTCAATGTAAATGTGCTTGCGTATCCTTCCAATAAAAATAAAAGGAGTAAAATAATAAATGTAATAATTTATTTATTTATTTCAAAGTTTTATGTACCGAGCTTCTCACCTCATAAAAGGGACTCAGCCCGGTTTCCAACCATAAAAACACATACAATCGGTAAAATATCAAAGTACACATTACAATAAAACATTAAAAAAACACATATATTTAAAACTACAGTGGTCAGTCGTCATACTAAACTCGAATATCGAATATACACCGTCTTCCATCCAGATCGTTGTCTCATTCTTCGAAAGCCTGTCTCCATAACTACGACTTCACCTGTTTCCTGAATGTCAGGATTGTTGGGGCGGTTCTGACCTCTGGCAGTAGAGAGTTCCAGAGTCACGGGGCCACTACCGAGAAGGCCCTGTCTCTCGTCCCCACCAGCCGCGCTTGTGAGGCTGGTGGGACCGAGAGCAGGGCCCCTCCAGACGATCTTAGTAATCTTGATGATAATCTATATAAATAAAAATGTAATGGAATTGACAGTAAGAAGCCAGACAGTGAAATAATAATAATAATTATTATTATTATTATTATTACTATTATTATTATTTATTTTTACCCCACCACCATCTCCCCAAGGGGACTCGGGGCAGCTTACATGAGGCCAAGCCTAACAACACATCAGTAAACAACAAAACAGCAAGCAAATAAAACAGTACAATTAATATAACTTACATATAAACAATAACACAGAGAATTTAAAATCTTATGGCTGGGCCAAATGTAATAAATTAATTTTTTAAAAATAAACACTGGGCGTGAACAGAGGTAGGATGAAACTGTTAGGCCATTAAATGCTAATCAAGGTGGCCAATTGAAACATTTACACCTACCTCCAGAGGTTGTGGGGTCTGTTGGAAACTAGGAAAATGAGGTTTATATATCTGTGGAAAGTCCAGGGGGGGAGAAAGGACTCTTGTCTGTTGGAGGTAGGTGTGAATGTTTCAATTGGCCACCTTGATTAGCATTTAATGACCTAGCAGTTTAAAGGTCTGGCGTCTTACTGCCTGGGGGAATACTTTGTAGTGAGGTGACATTCCACAGATATATAAACCTCATTTTCCTAGTTCCTCACAACCTCTGCCATAGATGCAGGTGAAACTTCAGGAGGGAATGCTTCTGGAACAAGGCCATACAGCCCGGAGAATTCACAACAACCCAGTATCATAGAATCCTAGAGTTGGAAGAGACCTCCTGGGCCATCCAGTCCAACCCCCGCCAAGAAGCAGGAATATTGCATTCAAATCACCCCTGACAGATGGCCATCCAGCCTCTGTTTAAAAGCTTCCAAAGAAGGAGCCTCCACCACACTCCAGGGCAGAGAGTTCCACTGCTGAACAGCTCTCACAGTCAGGAAGTTCTTCCTCGTGTTCAGAGGGAATCTCCTTTCTTGTAGTTTGAAGCCATTGTTCCATTGCGTCCTCGTCTCCAGGGAAGCAGAAAACAAGCTTGCTCCCTCCTCCCTGTGGCTTCCTCTCACATATTTATACATGGCTATCATATCTCCTCTCAGCCTTCTCTTCTTCAGGCTAAACATGCCCAGCTCCTTAAGCCACTCCTCATAGGGCTTGTTCTACAGACCCACTGCTGAACAGCTCTCACAGTCAGGAAGCTCTTCCTCATATTCACAGTATCATACCTATGTTTTGTTGTTTGCTCTATATTCGGCTACTTTTTAATTGTTATTTTAAAAAATGTGATATGCATTTCCAGTATTTTCACTAGGATTGATGTTCTCCTACCCGATCCCCTTTCCTTCTCAGAGAGCCCACCCTGATAAGCTGAGAGCAATTGAAATTGCAAGGAAAGCTAGGAAACGTGGCCATATTGAAAAGCCGGTCGATTACGACGACGATTTATCCCTGCTCAAAATGGCCAAACAAGAGCAGGAGGCCACCCTTGAGAGAGCCGGATCCGGCAGAGAGACCGTCACGCAGAGAATCCTCGACCGGAAAATCATGGATTTCATCGTCGAGGAGACCTTGCCCGTTCAGACAGTAGACAAGCCGACATTCGTTGGATTGATCCGCCTCGGCCTTCCCAAAGACCTGACCGTCATGTGTGCCAAGACCTTAAGGGACCGAATTGAGAAGCGGGCAGCCGGCATGCAAGAAACCTTGGTGCACCGGATGGGAGCGGTCGCCTACGTAGCCGTCACGGCGGACTGCTGGACCGATGGGAAGAAGAGCTTTCTGGGAGTGACCGCCCACTGGATCTGCCCGATGACTCTGAGGCGTGAATTCGGGGCATTGGCTTGCAAGCGCCTTCAAGGCCGACCTACGTACGACATCCTGGCCCAAGCCCTGCACCACGTGCACGTCCAGTACCGGATTCACAACAAAGTCGTTTCCGCAACCACGGACAGCGGCTCCATCTTCGTCAAAGCTTTCCGGGGTTTCAAGGCCAAAGACACAGCAGATGCCATGGATGGCAATGCGGACGACGACGAAGATCAGGAGGAGGCTGAGGTGGACTATGTGCCGATCTCTGAGATCTTGGACGCAGGTAATGGAGAACACGGAGACTGCGTCGAGATAGATTTCGGGTTGCCACCTCACCAGCGATGTGCCAGCCACACCCTCAACCTGGTGGCCACCGAAGATATACAGGCTATCGTCTCGGGTTCCTCTCCGAATAGTCCTTTGGGCTCCTTCAGGAAACTCTTTTGTTCCTTGATGGGAAAATGCAGCAATCTGTGGTCCAAGCAGAGCCAGTCCGCTCAGATGGCAGAGTATGTCCAGGAACAGTGTGGGATGTACCTGAAGGTTCCCAGGAAGACCAGGTGGAGCTCCACCTTTGAGGCCCTGAAGCAGCTCAACGAGCTCCTCTCCACCATGCCAGAGAAAGTGGACGCCCTCATGGACCAATGCTCCTTGGCCAGGATCACGCCGGCCGAGAGCCTGGCAGTGCAGGAATACACGGAGATCATGAGCCCGCTTGCCCAGTCGCTAGACATCCTGCAGCGGGAGAATGGCATGTTCATGGGGTACCTGTTGCCAACCTTGTACAACCTTGACCGCAAGTTGCAGGGCTTGGAGAACAAACCCGTCCGGTACACCTACTGCCTCCAGCTTTTGCAGGGTGTGCGGAAAGCACTACGGAAGCGGTTTGCACCCATCTGGGAGGACAAGAAGCTTCTTCTGGCGGCGTGCCTGCACCCCCGCTTCAAAGTGGACTGGCTGGAATCAGCCCAAAGCACCCAGACAAATAGGTAAGAACTTAGGGCAGCATTTCTCAACCTGGGGGTCGGGGGAAGGTTGCGAGGGTGTGTCAGAGGGGTCACCAAAGACGATCAGAAAATGCAGTAATTTTCTGTGTGGGAAGTTTGGCCCAATTCCATCATTGGGGTTCAGAATGCTCTTTGATTGTGAGTGAACTATAAATCCCAGCAACTACAACTCCCAGGTGCCAAGGTCTGTTTCTCCCCAAACTCCACCAGTGTTCACATTTAGGCATATTGAGTATTTGTGCCAAGTTTGGTCCAGAGTCCACTGCTGTCTGGATGTAGGTGAACTACAACTCCAAAATTCAAGGTCAATGCCCACGAAACCCTTCCAGTATTTTCTGTTCGTCATGGGAGTTCTGTGTGCCAACTTTGGTTCAGTTCCATTGCTGGTGGAGTTTAGAGTGCTCTTGATTGTAGGTGAACTTATCCCAGCAGCTACAACCCAAATGACAAAATAAATCCGCTCCAAACTCTACCAGTATTCAAATTTGGGCGTATCGGGTATTTGTGCCAAATTTGGTCCAGTGAATGAAAATACATCCTGCATGTCAGATATTTACATTACGATTCATAACAGTAGCAAAATTACAGTTATGATGTAGCAATGAAAATAATGTCATGATTGGGGGTCACCACAACATGAGGAACTGTATTAAGGGGTCACGGCATTAGGAAGGTTGAGAAACACTGACTTAGGGGGAGACGTGGATTGGATGTGTGGGTGTTTGTAGCGTAGAACTCTGTGTTGTCGGCATAGCAGGGAGTTTAGCTGCCCCTGAGCTACTCCAGAAAGCCACCTCCAGGAAGCTGCAAATCAAGAGCATAGTATTCCTATGAAATTGCCATTCCAGTGGCTCTCGGGAGGTGCTTAGTACAGTTGGCTCATTCATGTCAATAGGGCAGGCAAGGGCAAGTTTTCTAGCTTGGGGCCACATGCTAGTACTCCCTGCTGAGAGGATTGGCTTCCCAGTGACAGAAGAAAGAAAGGGAAGGAGGAAGGAAAGAGAGAAAGGGGGAGGGAAGGATGAAAGGAGAAAGAGAGAGGTAAGGATGGGAGGGAGGAAAGGGAGGGCAGGCAGGAAGGAAGGAAGGAAGGAGAGAGAAAGAGTGAGGTGAGGAACGCCATGAGGTAAGGAGGAAGGAAGAAAGGAAGGGAGGAAAGGATGGAAGGAGGAAAATAAAGGTAAGGGAGAGAGGGAGGTAAGGAGGAAGGAAAGGGAGGGCAGGGAGGAAGGAAGCAAGGAAGGAAGGAGAAAGAGAAAGAGGGAGGTGAGGAAGGGAAGGAGGCAAGAAGGAAGGGAGGAAGGAAGGAAGGGAGAGAGGGAAGGATGGATAGAGAAAGGGAATTATGGAAGGGAGGGAGGTAAGGAGGAAGGAAAGGGAGGGCAGGAAGGAAAGAGAAAGAGGGAGGTGAGGAAGGGCGTGAGGTAAGGAGGAAGGAAGGAAGAAAGGGAGGGAAGGATGGAAGGAGGAAAATAAAGGTAAGGGAGAGAGGGAGGTAAGGAGGAAGGAAAGGGAGGGCAGGGATGAAGGAAGCAAGGAAGGAAGGGAGAGAGGGAAGGATGGAGGAGGAAGGAGAGGGAGGAAAGGCAAGGAAGGAAGGGAGAGAGGGAAGGATGGAAAGAAAGGTAAGGAAGGGAGGGAGGTAAGGAGGAAGGAAAGGGAGGGCATGAAGGAAAGAAAGGGAGGTGAGGAAGGGAGGGAGGTGAGAAGGGAGGGAGGTGAGAAGGAAGGGAGGGAGGAAGGAAGGGAGAGAGAGAGAGAGAAAGAGGGAGGGAGGTAAGAAGGAAGGAAGAATGGAAGGGAGGGAGGAAAGACGGGAAGGATGGAAGGGAAAAGAGAGGGAAGTAAAGAGGAAGGAAAGAGAAGGATGAAAGGGTGGAAGAGAAGGATGAAAGGAAGGGAAGGACGAAGAAAAAAAGAGAAGGAAGGAAGAAAGGGAGGAAGAGAAGAATGGATCCATAATTGTTGTTTTTCCCGTAATCGTGAGGTCAGGAGTATTGTGCTCCCAAACTCTGTCTGTCTGAATCCGGAAGTTCCAGAGTAGCTTGACGTGTTCATTTTCTGTAACTTTTTCTGGTTTGTGATCCCACCAGTTCTTTGTTGCAGGCAGAATGTATTTGTGGCACAAGTTCCAATGGATCATCTGAGCAACGGTGTTGTACCTCTGCTTGTAGTTTGTCTGCGCAATCTTCTTGTAGCAGCTGAGGATGTGATTTATTATTATTATTATTATTATTATTATTACAGTATTATTATTATTATTATTATTATTATTATTATTATTATTATTATTATTATTATTATCCCATCTCCTAGATACATGATGGAAGCCCTGCTGAAAGCTGAGATCAGGAGTACGGTCGGGAAGGAGAGCAACACGTCTTCAGAGAAGGACCAGGAAGGAGACGACTTGGAAGACGACTTCTTTAATATCCAGCCCCGGGGCAGGAAGTCCACCGTGGACACAGCCGACGAAGAGGTCCTGAGATACTTGAAGTCCTCCAGCAGGGACGTGTCTTGCCTGCACGCTTTCCCCCGGGTCATGCGGTGTTTTCTGCAGTACAACACGGGCCTGCCCTCGAGCGCTGCAGTGGAGCGCCTCTTCAGTGTGGACGGCAACGTCTTCACGATCAAAAGGCACGGCTTGTCGGATGAGCTCTTTGAGCAGCTGGTTCTTCTGAGGCAGAACACGGCCGCTTCCGCATTTTAGCCTTTGAGTCCATGTACTTGGTTTGAAAGGTTTTGAGAGAGAGAAAAGCAGAATATAAATGCATATAATGATGATGATGATGATGATGATGATGATGATGATGATGATGATGATGATGAATTTCTTAACATCTTTCTTGGATCTTTTGATTGGAGGGACTATGGGCATTTGGACACACTGTTTTGCTCTGTAGTTGTTGTTGAGTTCTAGTCTTGTGAATAATTGCTAATCCTAAGAAACATTTTTTGTTTACTCTACCGTGTGTGTCTTTTGAAAAAAACTTCCTATGTGTGCTTCTAGGATACCTATAATGTGGCGTAATGTAAAATAAACCACGTTTAGTTCACGTTTGATCAGCCCACACACTACCTTGCCAGAGAAAGAAGATATGCCACGCAAGTGAACAGTGAAGAACAAGAATCATAGAATCATAGAGTTGGAAGAGACCTCCTGAGCCATCCAGTCCAACCCCATTCTGCCAAGAAGCAGGAATATTGCATTCAAATCACCCCTGACAGATGGCCATCCAGCCTCTGTTTAAAAGCTTCCAAAGAAGGAGCCTCCACCACACTCTGGGGCAGAGAGTTCCACTGCTGAACGGCTTTCACAGTCAGGAAGTTCTTCCTCATGTTCAGATGGAAACTCCTCTCTTGTAGTTTGAAGCCATTGTTCCGCGTCCTAGACTCCAGGGAAGCAGAAAACAAGCTTGCTCCCTCCTCCCTGTTTCTTCCTCTCACATATTTATACATGGCTCTCATCATGTCTCCTCTCAGCCTTCTCTTCTTCAGGCTAAACATGCCCAGCTCCTTAAGCCGCTCCTCATAGGGCTTGTTCTCCAGACCCTTGATCATTTTAGTCGCCCTCCTCTGGACACATTCCAGCTTGTCAATATCTCACTTCAATTGTGGTGCCCAGAATGGGACACAATATTCGAGGTGTGGTCTAACCAAAGCAGAATAGAGGGGTAGCATTACTTCCCTGGACCTAGACACTATGCTCTAGAAGTTTACTCTTCTTCGTTCAGAACAACATATGTACAATATGATCAGTTGCAACAACTCACATAATGTCCTTTTATGAGAGACTTAAAATGGTCTTTCTCTGTCCGTGTGGATAAACTCCTTCAGCAACTCATAACGTGAGAGCACACTCCAAACTGCTTCCCTTTGAATGCCTGCATAGCTCAAGCCTGAACAAAAATGTAACAGTATCCAAAAGTCCCACACTCAGCCTGCTCCCCGGGCATTGCCCGACCAATCAGCTTCATGCATCTTATTTTACAGTTGACACATACACATTAACTGATTCCTTGCACGATCCAACATATAAGACCTCTTTTCTGAGAATTGCAGTTACAGTAGACAACTTAGTTTTATTATGATATATAACAAGATTAGTCCACAGCAAATGAGAACACTCTGCTGGATGTTGTATTGGATCACACGTCGGACACTTCCCAAGTGTCTAGGCCTGTGTGATGTATTGGCGAATAATGTGTGCAGATCGAAGTAGGGTGGCCTTTTGCAGCTGACAAGTGGTAATTTCGTCAGCACCGATTGTGTTTAAGTGCAGGCCAAGGTCTTTAGGCACTGCACCCAGGGTGGCGATCACCACTGGGACCACCTTTACTGGCTTGTGCCAGTCTTTGCAGTTCAATCTTTAAATCCTCATATTGTGTAAGCTCTTCTTCTTCTCCTTCTTCTTCTCCTTCTTCTTCTCCTTCTTCTCCTTCTCCTTCTTCTTCTCCTTCTTCTCCTCCTTCTTCTCCTCCTTCTTCTCCTCCTCCTCCTCCTCCTCTTCTTCTTCTTCCTCTTCCTCTTCTTCCTCTTCTTCTTCTTCCTCCTCCTATTATTATTATTATTATTATTATTATTATTATTATTATTATTATTATTAGGTAAAGGTAAAGATTGTCACTGACATCAAGTCCAGTCTTGTCCGACTCTGAGGGTTCGTACTCATCTCCATTTCTAAGCTGAAGAGCCGCCGTTGTCCGTAGACACCTCCAAGGTCATGTGGCCGGCATGACTGCATGGAGTGCATTATTATTATTATTATTATTATTATTATTATTATTATTATTATTAATAATCTCTCTCCCCATTGTGTGAGGGAAAGTCAAAGGGAGGAGGGAGCAGGTTTCTTTTCTGCTTCCCTGGAGACTAGGACACAATGGAACAATGGCTTCAAACTACAGGAAAGGAGATTCCACCTGAACATGAGGAAGAACTTCCTGACTGTGAGAGCTGTTCAGCAGTGGAACTCTATGCCCCGGAGTGTGGTACAGGCTCCTTCTTTGGAGGTTTCTAAACAGAGGCTGGATGGCCATCTATCGGGGGTCCTTTGAATGCAATTTTCCTGCTTCTTGATATAATGGGGTTGGACTGGATGGCCCGCCAGGTCTCTTCCAACTCGGAACTCTCTGCTCCAGAGAGTGGTGGAGGCTCCTTCTTTGGAAGCTTTTAAACAGAGGCTGGATGGCCATCTGTCAGGGGTGCTTTGAATGCAATTTTCTTGCTTCTTGGCAGAATGGGGTTGGACTGGATGGCCCACCAGGTCTTTTCCAACTCTATGATTCTATGAAACATTATTTTGAATCTAAACCAAATTTTGGAGCTGAACATCTAAATCTCCACTCTTTGCTGCGACCTAAGGTGTTAAAATCCAAGATTTGGGAACACGCAACACAAAATTGAAACACACAAAACCTTTATTAAAAAGTACAGATACATAGCCAGATTTTTGCCCGAACAATTTCCAACTTCTATGTCTAAAAAAGGCAGTTGTCCTTATTTACATTGCAACTTTCCTTCCGCATCCCCTCCTGGCCACATCTGTTCTGCACTGATTTTGGTTTCGTCTCCCAATACCACTTCCCTGATGTCTGCACCATCCCAAAGTCCATCCACACTATGGAGCTGCATGACTTCAATCCCACTTTAACTGCCATGGCTGTCTCTTAAGGAATCCTGGGATCTGTAGTTTAGGAAGGGAATTAGAGTTCTCAAGCAAAGAGATTTGATGCTGTATTCAGGCAAGTGGACTTAAGGACTTGACATTCCTCATAAAACTACAAATCCCAGGATTCCGAGGATAGTGCTGTTGCTGTTAAAGCGGCAAAACAACATCATTGTGCAGTGGATGCACACCCAATCTGCAGAAAGTTCAATTGGGCTTGTGAACCATTTCTTTCTCCACATTTGAAGCATATTTATGTTAAGCCAAGAAAGTTTTACAATGTTGTTTAAGACTTATTATATATAAGCGTGCCAGCAGCAGAGTGCATCTTACCTAGAGTAAGAGGCGATTGGCTGCAGGCATTGGCAGGCGCACACGCTTTCCAGGCCTGCCTGCATGACCCACCACACACACACTCTCAGAGAGTGTGGCAGGGCATGCAGGCAGGCAGTTCAAGAGCACACCTGCAGCAGAGTGCATTTTACTCTAGAGTAAGAGGCACTTAGCTGCAGGCATTGGCAGGTGTGCATGCTTTCCAAGCCTGCCTGCATGTCCCGCCAAACACACTCTCTCGAAGAGTACGGCAGGATGTGCAGGCAGGCAGTCCAAGAGCACACCTGCAGCAGAGTGCATCTTACTCTAGAGTAAGAGGTGCTTAGTTGCTAGGCATTGGCAGGTGCACACGCTTTCCGGGCCTGACTGCATGTCCCGCCACACACACACTCTCGAAAAGTATGGCAGGGTGTGCAGGCAATCAATTCAAGAGCACACCTGCAGCAGAGTGCATCTTACTCTAGAGTAAGAGGCGCTTGGCTGCAGGCATGCACGATTTATGGGCCTGCCTGCACGACCTGCCACACACACACTCTGCAGCTAAGTGCCTCTTACTCTGGAGTATGATGCACTCTGCTGCAGGTGTGCTCTTGCACTGCCTGCCTGCACATCCTGCCACACTCTCAGAGTTGTGCAAGAGCACACCTGCAAGAGCACACCTGCAGCAGAGTGCATCATACTCCAGAGTAAGAGGCATTTAGCTGCAGGCATTGGCAGGTGCGCATGCTTTCCGGGCCTGCCTGCACACCCTGCCACACACACACATTCTACCTGCAGCAGAGTGCATCTTACTCTAGAGTAAGAGGTGCTTAGCTGCAGGCATTGGCAGCAGAGTGCATGCTTTCTGGGCCTGCCTGCACGCCCCGCCACGCACACACTCTCGGAGAGTTATGGCAGCGCAGGTAGGCAGGCCCAGAGCACACCTGCAGCAGAGCGCATATTACTCTAGAGTAAGAGGTGCTTAGCTGCAGGCATTGGCAAGCACACATACTTCCCAGTCCTGCCTGCACATCCTGCCACACACACACACTTTCCAAGGAGAATGTGCAGGCAGGCAGGCCCAGAGCATGCCTGTAGCAGAGCACATCTTACTCTAGAGTAAGAGGTGCTTAGCTGCAGGCATTGGCAGGTGTGCATGCTTTCTGGGCCTGCCTGCACGCCCCGCCACGCACACACTCTCGGAGAGTTATGGCAGCGCAGGCAGGCCCAGAGCACACCTGCAGCAGAGCGCATATTACTCTAGAGTAAGAGGTGCTTAGCTGCAGGCATTGGCAGGTGTGCATGCTTTCTGGGCCTGCCTGCACGCCCCGCCATGCACACACTCTCGGAGAGTTATGGCAGCACAGGTAGGCAGGCCCAGAGCACACCTGCAGCAGAGCGCATATTACTCTAGAGTAAGAGGTGCTTAGCTGCAGGCATTGGCAAGCACACATACTTCCCAGTCCTGCCTGCACATCCTGCCACACACACACACTTTCCAAGGAGAATGTGCAGGCAGGCAGGCCCAGAGCATGCCTGTAGCAGAGCACATCTTACTCTAGAGTAAGAGGCACATGGCTGCAGGCATTGGCAGGTGTGCACGCTTTTTGGGCCTGCATGCATGCCCACCACACACACACAACTCTGAGAGTGTTGCAGTGCGTGTGTGCAAGCAGACAAGCTCAGAGTGTGCCTGCACCTGAGCACCTCTTGCTCTAGAGTAAGAGGTGCTTGGCTGCAGACATTGGCGGGTATGCATATTTTCTGGGCCTATCTGCATACCCTGCCACACACACTCTCTCTTTCAAGGAGAATGCACTTGTGGTGGGGCATTTAGGTAGGCCCAGAAAGCATACGTGTCTGCCAATGCTTGCAGCCAAGCACCTCTCTTACTCTAGAGTAGAAACATCAGGCGCCAAGTAAGAAAAACACACACCGGAAAGGGGAACCAGTGAGTGGGAAGCCTCTCCCATAATAATCCGATGTTCAGGCTTTGAAACGAAAGTCGAAAGCAACCCTCCCAATTTTGGGAGGCTTACGAAAAATGGGTCAGGGCCCCCAACGAAAGCTGGGATACGAAA